AGCAACAGGCAAAAGGAATCAAAGATGGTAATTAAATTTGGACAGGAACTCTCGCAGACGGTTCTATAAAACCGTCTGCAGAGATTAAAAGCTGGAATGGAAAACTTGCAGCCAGTTTTCCTGTTTCAGTCTAAAGACTGATCAGTTCAGACCAGCCGCTCCAAAGTGCAAATGCAGACTTTTCATTTTTAATCAAGATAAAATCATTTTTTACCGAAGAAATTGTTATTTGTCTTTTTATAGCCAAGAGCTTATAGGTACAGCATTAACAGTAAATTTATCTACTTATTTCACACTTTTTACCCAGATAAATAAGAAATATATGGGTACACCTGAATTTTGTGGTGTTGCAGCAGTTTAACCTTTGAAAAAAAAGACCTGTAGCCTTGTTAAATAGAAACGTTTAAAGTGAGTAATGTGTCCAATAAAGGATCCTCTGCATTTTGCATTAGACCTAAAGGGGCAGAGGAGAGCGGCAGGCTCGCATTAATTGATGAATGGGACAAATGCTAAAAAAGCTTTTCCACAAAATCTTTAAACCGACTGGAAAAAGGAGCGTCAGGGCTGGAAAAACAGGTCATGCTTTAAACCTTAATACGTTAAAAAAGCTCCGCCAGCTCTACAGATTATCATATGCTTCCCTGCGAGGTGTTTGGTTCGCTGCGTTGGAAGAAGATCCAGTGAATCAAACCTGCAGAATGTCCTCTGGGTTTGCACTGGAAACATGAAAAGGAGACAGAAACTGTCTGTCCTCCTTTTCTTTTCCTTTTTTTTCCAGCATTGATTAGTTGGGTCAAGGTTGGAGACTCTGCGGTTCGTGTTGCTGAAACAACCCAGCTTCGCTTTGCTGGCTGCCAGGGCAATGCAACAAAAATAGGGTGATGGAAAATCAAAGTTCTTGGACTGATGGGTCTGACGTTTCAATATTCTAATGTTTAATGAATTTTTATTGCTTTTAATGCTGATTATTCACCATTAATTTAGTTATTTGATATAATCCTCCTCCATGGTGTGATTAGTCTGCAGATTTCATCATCTCTGTTAATCCACTTAAGCCATTGTGTATAAAATAGTGTAAAAGCTGTTGAGTTCCTTTTAAATGCATACAAAAGGGTGAAAAACTCTATTAAGCTAAATATGCTTAGTAGAGTTATTATTTTCTTTTTTTTAGCAGAATTTTAACCAGGTGAGTCTAAAAGTGCAATTTGAGACATTCTGGGTGAAAATATTTACAGAAAAATGAAGTTTTTTATGTTGCATGTAAAAGTATACACATTTTAGAGTCTGTTAAACCATTAATCAGTTCCCAAATTAGTTGGCAATTATTTCAACAATTGATTCATCACGATCAGTCCGATTAATCACAAATAATGCCTCACAACTTTTAGTTGTTTCATATCATCAGAAAGAAAGTTTTTTAAGAAGCTATCCCACAGAAACCAGAAGCGTTCAAGATTTTAATGCAAAAGTCTTTGCTGAGTTGACAGTTTCAGCTTTAAACTATTATTTCTGATTTTAAAAAAGGCTTTTTCAACATTTGCTCCAGTGACGAATTATGTTACTTATCCGTTTACAGCAAGAATTTACCACAGGATTTAAGAGCTTTGCAAAAATCTCCCAGCTGATCGCTTTTCCTCTCGGCTTGTAATATTGATGGAGTTAAACTTATTTTGTCATCAAGCAGCAGCAAAGGAAACATTTTCCAGAGTTTATGTCAACACAACTTGTCACAAAACTTCATTAGCTTGCAGCCTCCTTTGTGACACATTTCTGCAGAGCGTGTCACAAAGCGCTTAGTGAAAAATAACAGATGAATTTCCTGCAACAGCCAGAAAAAACCAAAAGTGACAGGAATTTGTTTGGAGGTTCGGCGTCCCTGTTTGGTATTCCACACGGTTTTCATCTGTCTGTACGCCGTCAGTCAACGTTCCCAGTTCAGCACTGTGACATTTTTTACTTGCATTCAGCAGACAGACATCCAAACGGAGACACGCTGATCCTTCTCTGAAAGACGAGCAGAGCAGCACAGAAAGAAAAGACGAAGCCGTGAAAATCTGATGGGGAAACGCGAGAACAAAGGAAAAAAGAAACAAACCGGAAACGTGTAAGCTGTGTTGGACTGAGATGGAATCTAAGTAGGTTAACAAAACAAGATTAAACATAGCAGCATGAAATTTGGTTTAAAAAATAATACTATCACTCGGAAACAGCCCTGAATATCACCATCTCCTCTTCATCACGGAGTTCCTCAAGGCTCCATCTTCGATCCGTAGACTTTGCTTCCCAAACAAGATGTAGAAGAAACAGGATTGAAAAGGACAACTATGTTTATTTACTTTTCACTTTTGTCCAACTTATTTATAGTTTTGGTTTTTGAGATTCCAACTTAATCCTCAGATAAATCTAAATTCATTTAGAGATAAAACAAAAAAAAGTCCTGATTGTTGGTTCAGGGTTTTAACAGGGTTTCTACATGACGATATCACAGATAACAAAAAGGGCTTTAGAAAATCTGTATTTCGTGCAGAATAATTTGCAGATTGATCCAAATTGGTCTATAGTTTGTTTTCTTACCAGTTAGTCCAGTAGACCCGGTTTGATTGAGGACCTAAATTGCACCATTTGTTACATTTTCAGCTGGAGCGGTTCGCTCTGACGCTGCACTGAGCCAAACCATCCAAACGCTTTAAAAAAGCTGTTTCCCTCCTCGCCTGTGGGGGCGCTGCACCAAAAAGCGGTGGTAGGATTTCTCCCTCTACCACTAGACTGTTGCACTTGTTTTGGTTATTTTCACCCAGATGATCGGCACTTTAGTCCGCTTCCTGGTTTTGGAGCGGTTTCCGGACCACTTGGTGTTCACACATAAACTGCACCAGAATTCACTTCGACTCAACAGAGCTCTCGGTTTCAGGCGGTGTGAAAAAGTTACATATTTAAGCTTTAAGGGGTTGAAACAGCTGGTGTGAAAAGCTAAAGTTGCACCTTACTTTGTTCATCACCTTTATTGGCTGAGCTTGTTTTTATGATGCTTTAATAAGGAGAACTGGATTTTTATTCTGCTTTTTCTTCTTCTCGACAGGTTTTCTGGAAAAGCTGATCTTCCTGGAAAGATTCACAAACACCCACATGGATGTCTGATAATCGATCTCCTGACTTTACTGGAAGCCTTGTGCCAAAGGGATCTGGGGATTCAGCGTCTGGGGCGGCGGCGCGTTCCTGCCAGCAGACCTGCATCTGCACAGGCGAGATAGGCAAAGTGGACACTCAGACATCACTGCAGCTCAATGTGAACACCAGGCACAGCTGGAGAAAACAATTAAATTAGTGCATCAAATGAAGCTTAGCACACATAAAACCAGACGCATGCAGCGCTGCTGAAGGACAGATGCTGCCCCCACCCCGCCTCGCATCATCCTCTCAAATCCAGCCGCTGGGAAGATGAGATTTGGATCCGACCGATTTGTTCGCTCACTCGCTGCTTTGTTCCTGGCCAAAACGTTGGAAGCATCGCTCTGAGGCGCCGCTGCAGTGAGCATGTTCTGCTGCTACCGCTGTGCTTTCCAGTTTTTCCCCCCATGGGGACAAAGATGAAGAGAATCTGAGCTACTTTGGATCTGTGTCACAAGATTTGAGCTAAAAAATACTCAAAAATGTCTCAAATATCTTTGAGAAAACCCCAAAGTTGCACCAAATAAAAGTAAAAGGAGTCCGACCAGTATTTAGTGTTTCTCAAGAACTGAGAAACTGATAAAACATAATTTAATGTAAAGAAGATCATCATCAAAACTTTTGGTATTGTGAAAATCAAACTATAAATAACAAGAACAAAATCAGGTTTTTATTATGTTTAATATAAAACCTAAGAACTGCAGGTCTGTGTCTGGTAATATTTAATTAAAGCAAATTTTCTCTTCATCAAGGGAGAATCCAGATATTTTACTCAAGTAAAAGTAAAAAGTCACAAAAAACCCCAAAAACAAACTAGTGTAAAAAATGGTAAAATGTTTCCAAATAACTGATCAAACAACCAACCATTGTTTAAAAATTACATAACCAGACGGATCAAAAATATTCTGCTATTTTAGAGCTCAAAAAGAACATAATAAATAGAAATAACATAATATTTTGAACCTTATAAATCTATAACAGTTGTGTATTTTGTGGATTTTACTGCTTAATTAAAACTCATTTTTGGTTCGAAATAAGCTTCTTTTTCTTTCGGTGGGTAAAAAATATCCAGATATTCAAACAGGCAAAGTGACAATTCATAATAAAGTTACTCAAATAAAAATAAAATAATAAAACCTATGAAAGTTTTTTTTCTCTCAAAAGTTACTGAAGTAAATGTAACACAACTGAACTGTGAATTGTTATGTACTCAACAAAACTGTATTTTAACTTGACGCTGCTCATCAGTTTTTAAAAGAAAGGAGTGAAAAAAGAAAACAGTAGAAGAAGAAGAAGAGGAGGAGGAGGAGGAAGGCCCTCCTCCCCCCGCTGCTCCTCCCTCTGCTCTCATCCAGCAGCTCTCCTTTGCTCCAGAGCAGAGAGACGAAGCGGAGCGGAGCTCAGCATGCAGCCCGGACAGACTGTCTGCATCCGACCGCCGGCTCTTCCTGCAGCCGCACGCTGCCGGTAACCCCGCAGCGCACCGCAGTGCACCGCAGCGCACCGCAGCGCACCGCACCGTGGGGTGAAGACTGAAACCCAGCAAGTTTAAACCGGAAATAAGTGGAGGGATAAAGCCGCGTCTGGACGGACTTTGGAGGCAGTCGGGTTGCAGCTGCCTGAGATTCAGCGGAGTCGGAGCATCTGGGGCGCAGGGGCGGGTTGTGATATGGGCGCTTGCCCAGGGCGGCATCACAAAGGGGCGGCACAACCAAGAACGTGAAAATAAAATATCTGTCCGTCGTCCCTGAGAAACAGCTTCTATGTATGTTTAGTGGCGCTCGCTTCCCTTAGGAGATCTGCTTTCTGATTTAAAAATAAAAAAATAGTTTGGAGTGTGGCAGGAAGAGAGGCTTGCCAAAGAACCACAGCTGGTTGTCGGACGGGTTACAGTGGCAGGCCCGGGGGTGGGGGCATGGCCGTGGGGGGGCCGCATCCCGTCCTCCACGCTTCACCGTGACAGAGGCTTCGGCTGGGGGTCATGGAGCTGGGGCTCGCCCCGGGGGGCCCCCAGACTCTCAGAGCTCCGCCCCTGGATGAGCGGAGGGGCAGCGGCCGGCGGCGGCGCGGACAAACCCGGCAAAGTGAAATGCTCCCGCAGACTGTGGCTCCTCCTGGGATCGCTGGCGCTCATCTTCCTCACCTCGCTGTTCCTGTCCGTGTCGCTGCGCGGCGGCGTCAGCTTCGGCTACCTGGAGCCGCCCGGGTGGGAGGAGTCCAGGCGGGTGAAGCTGGTGCCCAGCTACGTGGGCGCCCACCGACTGTCGCCCCCCGAAACGCCCCTGCAGAAAACATGTGCCTGCAACAGCTGCGTGGGAGACCCCGGAGTCTCGGATTGGTTTGATGAAAACTACGACCCGGATATCTCTCCGGTCTGGACCAGGGACAACATCCAGCTGCCGCAGGACGTCTACTACTGGTGGGTGGTAAGTAGCAACATTTATTACTCCATTTAAAACTTACATATGAAGATTTACACTGCAAAAACACAACATCTCACCAAGGATCTTTGGTCCAATTTCACTGTCAGACTTTTTCACTTAGTTAAATAAATCTATCTGCCAGTAGAACAAGAACTTTTTTATCAGTGTGAAAGAATTATTGACTTAAAACAATCTCCAATATCTGCAAAGTTAGTCTTTTGTCTTATTTCAAGTGATGTAGCCTCGACAAAAATACTTGGTCAAATTGTGTTTGTTTGAAAATCCATCAAACTTTTGCTTTGTTTTTTTTTTTTCCTTCAGAAAGACCAGAAATTTAAAAAACACAAAATATCATCAACAATTTTGGGTTTACTTTATGGTTAAAATATTTAAGTACATTTTAAATAAGAGAAAACTCACTTGCAAACAACTTTTCAGCCCATTTTTAGTAAATAATTTGTGTTTTTAAGTACTGGTTCTACTGGAAGATGATTTAACCTATAACAAAAAAAAAATTTCACAAAAGGGAAACCACAAATTTTTCATCAATATTAAAAAAATATTTACTTAAAAGCTCCTATAGTTTGCTGAAAAGTTACATTTTAGTTAGTCTTGTCGTAGTTAATGTAGACGAAGACATTTGCACTATAAACTAAAAGTACTAAATATTTTAGCTTTTCTTTCCTGAGGAAATGCAGATAGTGCAGATGTGAAAACATAACATTTTACCAAGTATTTTTTGTTCTAATGCAAGTATCTTGAAATAAAATTAAACCAACTTACAAGTAACTTTTCAGCAAGAAATAAGAGCTTGTTTTATGTCAATAATTCATTAATATTGATTTTAAAAAGTTGTTTTTTCTTATAACATTTAAAGATTTTTGTTATAAAATAAATAATCTGCCAGTCGATCTCAGACTAATGATTATAAGACATATTAGATTTTACTGGATGTATTAGTTCAGCTGATGTAAAGGAGAATCCGCTAATTGATGCAGAGACTCAGAAAACGCTGAGTCACCGTTTATTTGCAGAGCTCCGGGTATCTGCTGGGAAATACTGCTGAGTTATGGAGCTGCAAACCGGGCCGAAGTTTTTACTGAGTTATAAAAACAACATTTTGTGAATTTTGTTAACGCTGTTCAGTGTTTGCCTGAAAAACCACAAAAAAGAAACGTGGAGGTTTCAGCTTCTGTGGAGAAGAGTTGGAAGGAAGGAAGTGTTTTCTTTGTCTTTGAGTCTGACGGTTTTATTAATACTGGTTTCCATTTGTAAAGTTATAAAATAAAAATATTAACAACAATAATTTGAGTTATTTAGCTCATGGGGGTAATTAAATAACTCAGATTATTGCTGTTAATTTTTGTGTAACGTTGCAAATGGAGCAAACATAGATAAACACGGAGATGTCCAAGCTGTGGCGCAGGGGCCATTTTTGACCCTCTGGATGATTTTGTTTGGCCCCTCCATCCTGAAGAATATAGAGAATTTGCAATCACTTTGAGATTTTTATTAATAAAATGTTCTTAGTACAAGACAAAACATTTTTTCTATAATTAACTTTTTTTTTGATGAAGACTATAAGCCCCAAAAAAGTTGTAAAAAATATTTACCTGTCATTTAAAACAGCAACTGTTCAGCGCTATGTTTGTGCTTTATTGAAATGTAATCTATTAGTCTTATTAGATGACAACCAGAGATAATTTGTGACTCTTATTAAAGAGATGACAACTATAAATGTGCTAATAAATAAATAAATCAGCTTTAAGTTAAAATAAAAATGTCCCTAATGGTACAAAATTTGCATTTTAGATGAGCCACTTTTTGTTTCTGTACAAGCACAAAAGAAAAACAGCTGAAAAACAAAAATAAATGTTAAAACAGGCAGTAAATACCAGAGCGAAGGATCTGAAATGAGTTAAAGTGCCTTAACTTTGTCCAGCATCCAGCACAGACACTGCAGGCGCAGGAAATGGCATGCTTGAGTCTGTCTAAAGATAACAAAATCTTCTTAGCAGCTCCTCTAAAGCTCACCGATTAACAGCTTTCACTGTGTTTGTTTGTTTGCCTCCGGCTGAGCACTGCGCATAATCCCACATAAAACTATTACAGACTAAACATGCAACATAGAAGATGAAAAACCTGCGATGCAGTGAGGTGGACTCCCGAACTCTGAACTCTGAACAGCTTTCAGATTCTTCCAGTCATTATGTGCAGCTCAGCAGATCAAGTCTCGGCTTTTCCTTCGTCCCTGACACGCTCTCACCAGCTCCAGTCGCTCTCTGTCGCAGTTTTTAATGCAACATAAACATCCTTTCACACTGAACAAACAAATTACTGACTTTAAAAGCTGGTACTGTGTGGTTCAGACTGTCGGAGAGACCCGACGTTTGCACTGGGGAAACATGAAAACGGCTTGCAGAAAGTTCTCAGGCGCTTCAAACTGGACGTTATCCTGCAGGATCAACTCGAAATCAATAACATTTTATGGTTGTTTATTTTGTAGAACAATGCATCTTCTTGTTATTCTGTAATATTTATTCTATATACACTAATTGGCAAATAAACCAAAGGTGAATAAAATATTTAGTTTGCTAGCTACTTATGTGAAAATATTTTTACCTAAATATTTGACCAAAATAACAATAATATATTGCTATTTATTTAGCTAAAGAAAAAAACATATTCTGAGTAAAAAAGAAAAAACTTTCACTAAAAGCTTGTTTAGTGAAATAAAAAAGTAAAATAACAATTTTACTTTTTTATTTTAGTAACAGCTGCGTTTATTGTTAACCCAAAGAAAGAAAACAAGTTCATATTAATTTAGAAACAACAACATTGATGTTTTAACTCAGGAAGAGTTCAGAAATCAGTATTTGGTGGAAAACCAGGAGGTTTTCAGTGGAGTTCAGTGCAGCAGGCTCTTCATTTGAGAACTCGCTTTTTAACTCCAGAATCAGCCGCTGCACCATAAATACCGACTCTGACACCTTAAAGCTCCTCTGAGCGCCGCCTGTTAGCGAGTTTGGCCCGCAGCAGCGCGGTCGTCTCCATGAGGGATGAAGCTTCATCAGGACTCCAGCTTAAAGGGACGAGGACGACACCATAATCACCTCCTCATCTTCACTCACTGCCGAGCCAAGCAACCCGTCTGACGAGGACGACATGCTCCATTTGTGTTCCTGCCAGTGGATGGAGGGAGAAAAAAGCCACATGGAGGAACGCTGGGAGCAGACAGGAAGCAGGAGCACATCCCAACCGTCTATGGAGGACCAACACTGACATAATTACAAATAAAAGCAGAAATGTTCATTTTTTTCTTTTCCTTTTTCCTTGTACATGTGAAGAAATTTATATATTTTCTTTTGTTTTCCTTATACAATCATTTGTTGTTTTAAACAAGCAAGTTTAAGGAAAACGCAAAAGAAAATATATAAACTTCTTGGCAAAATTGTATGAATAAGGAAAAGGAAAATCAAAGTACATACATTTCTCGCTGAAAACGAATTAATAAGGAAAAAGGATTTTTTTTCTCTCCTTTGTTTGCAATTTAACAAGAGAAAAAAACGAGGCTGAAAAATCTTTTTTTAATTTTCACATTGTAAAACACAAAATCTTACCAATTATTTGTGTCTAGTTTCTAGTGCAAACATCTTAACACACTTTAAATAAATAAAATTAACTTAAACGTAACTTTTTAAAAAAGCTCTTTTTAGGTGAATACTGATGAAATAATACTATTTCCACTGGCAGATGTTTCACTTGTAACGAAACAAAATCCACTCATTCGTTTTTATTTTATTTGATGAATATTAAGAAATTACTGTAGAATTACTCAAACATGCATGAGAGATTCAAGGCGACACTCCAGGTGTGTTTTTGATGAGGGAATAACAATGTAAAGCTCAAAAAGGTCAATTTTACATCAATCCTGCCCACTTAAGGAAAACGTGTCAAATTTAAATATTTTACCTGTATTCCTAATGACAGAAATGAAATGAATAAAATTACATTTCACCACCTATGCACTGCAAAAACACAATCTTTCCTAGTCATTTTTTTCCAGTTAGCCAGTCTAAATATCTAAGTGCACTGGGACAAAATGAAATAGCCAGACATATGAGCTTGTTTTAGGTCAATAATTTCTTAATATTAATGAAAAAGTATTAGTTCCTAATACTAATACTATTAGTACTGGCAGTTATTGACCTAAACCAAGATCATATGAGGAGCTAAAATGTCACTTCTGAGTTAATTTTTCTTATTTCAAGTTATTGGAAGTAAAAACTAAAGTTACTTGGTAAGATCTTGTTTTTGCAGTGTGCAGAGCAGTTCTCCAAACGCGACTGTTCAAATCTAAATCCAATTTTTCTTTTATCTCTATTAGTTTAACCTGCTGTGAATCAAACCCTGTTTCCCAAATCATCTACTTATACTTCAGCTTTTTGGGTGAGGATTTATGGGCCGTTTTCTGTTCAACGGTGACCCGAACCGCCGCAGTCAGCAGATTGCCACCGCTTCGATCAATAAATCCATTTTGTCTTAACTGGAGTTAATGGATGGCTGGGAGGGAGAACTGGTTAGAGACCTAAAATGAAAAATTAACTGGCTCCTGCGCCGTGTTTCTGCTGCAGCCTGACAGAAAGCAGAGGAGGAGGACAAACGTTTGAAGATTTAAACGTCTTCCAGTTAAAGCTGCGTTACATAACTCCTATAAAAATATGTTTTTGTTGAAACTGTCACCATGTGGAGACCAGAGGTGGGCAGAGGACTCAAAAATGTTACTCCTGTAAGAGTAGCAACACTTCAACGTGTCTTTATTCAAGTAAAAGTCAAAAGTAGCCGTCCAAGAAATTAATTAAAGAGTATTTGGTAAAAAAGTAACTGATCAAATGATCAATCATCTAATATCTTAAAATCAGAACCAAAATATAAAGTTATGTAGAATTTTTTATATTTTAAAGACAAACATGACAACTTATATAAGTAGCCAAAAATAACAAAACCAGCCTAAAGAGCATTTTTCTCAATAATTTTTTCTCAATAAAAAAATTAAACTGTAACAAAACCTGCAGGTGTTTCTGTCTGGGGAAATTTGGTTAAAACATTTTCATTTAGTGGGTGGAAAATCCAAAAGTTTTTCTCAAGTAACAGTAGAAATACTTATAAATTACTCGCGTAAGTCTAACTAGTTTCTTCCCAACTCTGGCTGTAATTACAGTGCAATTAAGAGACACTTCCTCCTTGAGCTACTATCTGAAGAAATGCACGGCTCCCGATCAAAAACAACCAATCAGAGCCAGGAGGAGGGTCTTAGTGCTGTCAATCAACCTCGTGAACATGTCATTCCAGTGGCCATACAACTGCAACATGCTCTGCTATCAGGAAGAGGCTGTAGCATAGCAGAAGGATGATTGGCAGCGCTAAGACCCGCCTCCTTGCTCTGATTGGTTGTTTCTAATTAGCACTGGAAGAATTCAGAGGACCTCCATTTTCTTTTTTTTTCTTTTTTTTTTTTACAGCATACTATCAGAACATAGTGACAGTTTCAAGAAATATGTAAAAAAAAAAAGTTTTTATTTTTATAAAGGTTACATAAATGCAGCTTTTAATTATTGCATGTTTTTTTCCCAAAATTGAAATAAGCCAGCAATCATCACTCAATTATCAGCACTAAGGCTGGAATTTCCTCCCTTCATCACTTCATTTTGTCTTTATCCAGGAGTTTATCCATCAACTCTAAACAATAACAAACAATCAGCAGCTCTGAATGAGTCAATTTAACCAAACAGTGTTTGACTCATTTCTTTCAAGTCTTTGCTAAAATGCAGAAACAGTGAAAGAAAACTAAAAGTAATAGGCTTCACTGTTGCTCTCCAGCCATCCAAATAGCTGAAACATTTTTCACTGAATCAGGAAGACAAGAAAAACAAAGCAACAGGGAGCAGAATAAAGATTACCAGTCACTGATGAGCTGCATGGCGCGTTTACATCCCAGAGAGACGGAGAACAAGAAGAGGAGGAGGAACAAAGAGGAAGCGAGGGAAATTAAGGACAAGGAATTAGACCTGAGTGCTGGGAGACCGACGGAGAGGATGCAAACCTTAGTGAAAGAGATCTGTGCTGGGAGGATTGAGGCCAATGGTGGAAGCAAAGGAAGTAGTGACAAAAGAGTGTGAAATGAAATGAAGATTCCTGTGTGGGAGAAAAGGAGGCGACCGTCATAGAGACGACGAGGAGCAAAGAAAGTGCATCCTCTACATCCTGAGGGTCTTAAGGTGCCTCAATGAGATAAGGAAAATATCCTCTCCTCTCCAGGGCTTCATGTAAAACCAGCACAAAACACATCCTGTCATTTATTTAATTAAAATATAAACGGTGAAGGAATAAAAATCTAGGTACATAATCCAGCTGATTCTCAAACGTTTTAACTGGAATTAATATTTTCTATATGATGATTTATTAGGGCCTTGGAAATGAAACAAAAAAAGAGTTTTCTGCAAACATTCTTAACATTCTTAAAGCTCTGGAAGCTTTAAGAATAATCTCAGCAACTTCCTGGAAAAACAAGGAAGTTTCTGAGCTTCAAAAGTTGTCAATTTGCAAGAAAACAACTCAGAAACATTTAAGTAAATCTTAGAAATTTGTATAAAAACTTGGACATTTTTGAGTTTCTGAAAGTAGTTGGGAAAAAATATTTTTTAATGACTTATCACAGGCACAAACTTATTCATGTGTGATTTTAGTTAAATATTTACTCTGAAAACTGGATCAAAATTTTGTGTTTTTGCAGTGAAATTAAGGATTAAGTTCAGTATTTACAGCCTTGTAAAATGTAGAATTTTCAAAATAAAGCTCACAAGATAACCTTCCATTAAAAAATCTTGGTTTCCATAGAAGTCTAGATTTCACCAATTTTTTTTTTGTTTCACTAAGCATTTTGTCACTGATTTAGCTCCGTACATTTACTCTAACCAAAACCGTTGGATGTTTCTGCAGATGTTGCAGCCGCAGTTTAAACCCCACAACATCCAGCAGGTGCTGCTGAGACTCTTCCAGGTATTTTATCTTTTTGTTCCTGAATGTCAGGATAATTAGGACGTGTCAGACATCAGGTGTGCGTCCTGCCAGCCTCGTTGCTGGCGTCCAGTGATGGATCATGACCGTCTGCCTCAGGTGATTCCCGGACGGTCGCCGTACGGCTCCTGGGATCCGGGGCGCTGCCTGCGTTGTGCCGTGGTGGGAAACTCCGGAAACCTCCGCGGCGCCGGATATGGGGCGGACATCGACGGGCACGACTACATCATGAGGTGAGGCGCTTTAGATCAGAAACCACAGGAAGGAAGATGAAGAGGAAAAGAGACGGGAGTCATTAATATCCAAAGTGCTTTCAGGGAAATATGTGGTTACTAAGTGTTTTAAATGTACCACAGGGAGAGTAGCACTACTTCAATGTATTCTTTTGTCTTCAGTAAAAGTAAAAATTAGTCACACAATATTTGGTCAAAAGACGACTCAAGTACTGAGAAACTGATTAAAACCATCAATCATTTCCTATTCAAACAGACCAAATTATAAAGTTATGTGGAAATGTTGATATTTGAAAGACTAAAATAAGAAATAACATAAATACAAAGTAACTAAAGCAGGCAAAAGAAAAGTTTTTCCAAATCAGGTTCTTTCAATATATAATGCATAAAACTTCAAAGGGGCAGTATTATGTATTTTCCAGGAACAAAACGCCATTTTATAGCACAATCAAGTAATTATGTTAACTTCAGTTTCTAAAAAAATGCTACATGTATCAAATATGACTCAACAGAAATTTGTCTTTGGAATTTAACACCTTGAAATTGGGCCTCTGTCGCTTTAAAAGTGCTGCTCTTTCTGAAACTCTGATTTCAGGTTTGTGTCGATCTGGTGAATATTTGGTTAAAACATGCTTGTTTTTCATTCAGGGGGAAGGGAATCCTAAAATTTTACTCAAGTAAGAGCAGAAATACTTTATAATAAAATTATTCAAGTTACTTTATCACCACTCAGCGTAGTGAAAATACTCCTTAAAGTAAATTTTTTCCAAAAAGTTACTTCAGTAAATAGTTAGCTACTACCAAACTCAGCTGAGCTGCAGGCAGCTCATGTTTCTATCTGATGTTCAGTTCAGGCTGCCCTGCTCTCAGCTCTCTGATTGGCTGACAGCGGTCACCTGACCTGCATGGTTGCCACAAAGAGCGTTATGTCCTGAAAGCATTCATTCAGATGTGCAAACTGAGGCACAGAAGGCTTTCTGTTGCACTGATTGTTCTGGAAAATCAGACTCTAATTCATGGTGTTTCATGATGTTTCCTGCTGTTTGAATTAATAACACGTTAAAAATGCAAAATCTGTTCTTTTAAAGAAAACTTCCACTCCCAATAGCTGTAGAAATGGCAGTTTTTAAAGGTGACCTATGATGCTTCCTCTAACAGGAGGGGATAGGTCTTAAATGAAACATGTTCATTATTTTTTATGCACAAAATGATTCTTAGGTAATGAGACTTTATTCTGCTTTAGTTCTTTTTACTTTGAGCTCCTTTCAGAATGAGCTGCTTCCAGACCACTGTCACTTTAAATCCAAAGTAGCCTCTGCTGGCCACGCCCCCAAGTCAACGTTCACATTCGCAATTGAAAATGACTGCAAACAGATGCACAATTATTCAAACTTACATCTTTGAAAAACATTAGCAGAGCCTCCTGCACAACCAACAAGAATGCAGTAAGTGGTTTCTGGATGGTCAGTCAACAAAACTCTCATCTTTTCCAGCAGCCATTGTACAACACATTCAGCAGTGAAACCAAACATGCTGGAGCCCCCTTTAGGTTTCTCTGTAATAGCACAGTGTGATTCAATATTCAGGAGGTTTTTCAAATGGCTCATTTTCCAGACACCAAAAAACATCTGGCTCTTTTTTGTTTTTGTTTTTTGTGCTGGAGTTGTTTTCAGAAGCAGTAGAAACCCGAAAAGAAGACAAACAAAATGTAAATTTTGCATAACAGCTCCCTGCACCATGTTGGTAAAACTTTTGAGCATTAGCTTCCGATAAATGCATGGAATTGTGTTAAACCAACTTTCTAAGCGTTAGCTTCTACTTGGTACCATGTTGGTTTGACGCTTTAGCGTTAGCTTCTGCTATACACCATGTTGGTTTGACGCTTTAGCGTTAGCTTCTGCTATACACCATGTTGGTTTGACGCTTTAGCGTTAGCTTCTGCTATACACCATGTTGGTTTAACGCTTTAGCGTTAGCTTCTGCTATACACTATGTATAGCAATGCCCTCACCCTCTCATCACTTATAGATTGACCTTTGACCCAGTGGGGTTATTCCAGCTATTTTCAGCTGAATGGTATTTCCACCAAGAACACAATGGTTGTTCTTCTATTGGTGCCAGTTGCCAACTGGAGCATCAAACAGTAGGAATGGGAGTCCTAACATGCAAATTAGTGTTTGGTTAACCTTCTGAATCTCCTCAAGAAGCTTGTCTCACAGAGAGTGAGGTTAAACACAACGGTTGTTTCCATTAGCTGGGTCTGAAAGCACTCAGACAGATATGAAGATGCCATGTTAATCTGCTCTGGGGTTAAATAACAGCACAAGCAGCTGGTATTTTGTGTTATTAGGATCAATTACAGCTGGATTCTCTCTGGAGCTGCGTGGGCAGCTTTCATCTTTTCTTTTCGCTGGTTGGGATTTGTTATTCATTTGTTGTCTGAGCTTCAGCTCGGCCACAGCACTCCACCAACCACACGCCTCAGTTCACTCCGGCTCTCTGCACAATCATCTCTTTTGTTCGGAGTATATCTGCGAGTGCGAGCTTTATATTCCTAACTTTAGCTCCCCCTGCTCAGACAAAAATATTCTTCCTGCAGACAGTGACTCACATCTAGGGCTTTGTGAACGCCGTCTCATGTCAGCAGACAGAGCGGAGCGACTCGGAGACAGACAGCCGTCATGCTGGGGAAAATATTCCTGTTTCTGTTGGAAAACAGTGAGAGCTCTAAAACTGACAGTAACTCAGTCAGGACTCTCCGCAGAGGAGTTTGGACAGTTTGTTGTATTTAATAAATGTTCACTGTTTCTTTCCTTCCCCTTAAAGTTTTGTATTCCTGTTTAGAGATACTACATTAGTTTTACAAATGTCTATTTCAGAAAATTTATTGTCACATTTTCAATCTGTTTTAAATTGTAACATAAAGAAATCATAAAACATTTGCCGAGAAAAAGATGGATACGTTTCCCTCTGTGGGATGACAAAACAAAAAGATTCTGTCATGGGACAAAACTGCTTAGACCATAATTATTGAAGCATTATCAAATTTATATTTAAAAACCCAAATCAGATTTTTTTTTCTGACTTTTCGGCCCTAAACCATTCACACTATTCTCTAAATGTGAGACTAAATAGGATATCAGATTGTTTTCATGGGGTTTGCTGTCAGAACGGTCGAGTCGCATCTTTATTTATGTCATCGACATGCGTCATAATTCTGCACCAGATGGAGCCAAACGCAGTAAATCTGGATGTAAAGACACATCACATCATTTTTTGATTAAACGTTTTTGCGCTAGGCTTGGCGGTTTGTCAGCCATATTGAAACACTCTTTTTGCGTCACACGAGTCACGTGATCAACAGCCGGTTGTTACGGTTACTACTGGTGGAAACGATAAATAAGACGACAGGAAGTGGTAGGAGGATGATGGTTTGTTCTGAACTCTCACAGCATCGCAGAGTTCATGACAAGTTGTGTGTAATTCCAGTGTGTTCTGTAAAATCGCAGAATACCATTTTATTTTGTCGCTCACTGTCGTCTCCTCTGATTGGCTGATAGATGATGAGCGCGAGCGCCATGACTGAATTATGAATATAACTTGTAACTGTTTACATCCGTCGCTTCCTTGATTTTTAGTAACTCATTAGGTGAACAAGCTTATTCTAGTATGATTTTAATTTTATTTCTGATTTAATGGAGACGCAGCAATTACAACTCTGTTTTTTAGACATGAGCTGAATACAAACAAAGATTGGCACACATTTGTAATAGAAACTCAGCTACTGAATCATAATGTAAGCGAAAATAAGACTAATATTCCCTGTAACCAGCATGAATGTGTGTGCAGCTGTGAGTGAAAGCCTGCTGATGCCTGCAGGAGCTTTAGTTAATTTTGCACTTCTAGATTTTTAGCTGTGATTACATATTTGCGCAGCAGTTAAACATCTTTTCTTCTATTTTTACACTCTGCATGACAAGCAGTTTTATTGTTTTGTGGTAGCAGGTGCAGAAAGATGTCTTCAATGATAAATACCTTTAAAACACAGCCAGATGGAGCTGTACACATCAGACAGCTCAGACTTATTGCTGTTTTTCTCAGCAGAACAAATTTAGCTTAGGTTTGCTTACATACACGTTTCCTCCACTTAGCATCCTATTGAACACTCCAGCATATTTTCACATAGTTTCCTAGTTTTGTGTGTTACTTATTTGTTTTTATTTTTTATTCTTTGTGTAGACATTACTTTACAGCTGAAAATATGTCTCCATGAAGGATTTGTTTTTATGCTCTGCTAACTTTACGAGGGCTTACATGACTGCAAAAAAAGCACGACAACTTTTTTTTTTCATCAGAAACTGGATAAGTCCATAAATAAATGGGACCTAATTTGCAAAATTTATGTCTTACTTCAATTTTGGTCTGAACAATAAGTTAATGCTTTTTGGCGTCTGAAAAATTAACTGTTTCACTTGTTATTTCACAATTCAGCAAGTTTAGCAGCAAACCTAGCAACCCCAGCAGAGTTTCGCCGTTACCTAGCAACTCCAGCAGAGTTCCGCCGTTACCGAGCAACCCCATCAGAGTTTCGCCGTTACCTAGCAACTCCAGCAGAGTTCCGCCGTTACCTAGCAACTCCAGCAGAGTTCCGCCGTTACCGAGCAACCCCAGCAGAGCTCCAGCATTTGGTCAGCTGGTTTTACTGCCCTATGAACTGCATGGTGGCTGCTGGAAAAGACAAGTATTTTGCTGTTGACTTATTGTCCAGAAACCACTTGCTGAATTCTTCTTGGTTGAGTAGGAGGCTCCACTTCTGCCTTTCAAAGATGTACGGTTGTATAATTACGCATCTGTTTGCAGCCATTTTCACGTGTGATTTCAAATGTTGAGTTGAGGGGGCGTGGCCAGCAGCAGCTTATTTGGATTTAAAGTGACAAGAGGCCCCTATAACAGCCAAAGTCTTATTACCTAAGAATCATTTTGTGCATAAACTGCATTGAACATGTTTGTGGCACCCAGTAGATCCATCCTAACCTGTTCAAGGAAGCATAAAAGGTCGACTTCAAAGCCAAAGGTGGTTTGAGAAACTTCCCTGATGCTCCTCTTTTCCTCTCTCTCCCCCAGGATAAATCTGGCCCCCACTGTGGGCTACGAGGACGACGCTGGCAGACGCACCACGCACCACTTCATGTACCCGGAGAGCGCCAAAAACCTGGCCACCAACGTCAGCTTTGTCCTGGTTCCCTTCAAAACGCTGGACCTGGTCTGGATCACCAGCGCTCTGTCCACTGGCCAGATCCGATTGTAAGCATCACAGATGTAAACGAGTCTGGATTAATAAAACAAACAGAAATGTAGTTCATATGGCCTCCATTAGCCGTCGGGGCGCAGTAAACACAGACACACGTTCTGTTTGCACTGAGAGGCTGCGAAGAGGCTGAGGGATTAGCAATCTGTCAATCATCCAGTAATCAAATAAAGTTTATCTCTCCGTGTGGTTTCTCTCTCTGCAGCACTTACGCTCCAGTGAAGCAATTCCTCCGTGTGGATAAAGACAAGGTTCGTCTGGCCATTTCGACAAAGTGACCCTGCTCCAGCGATAAACCCCCTTCCCCATTGTCGACTAGGGATTACAAACGCTGCCTTTGTTGTCACTAATCTCCAGCTCGCGGCTTAATCTGTAAAATAAATAAACACACTCCTGTTTGCATGGAGGAGCTGAGGCATCTTTGCCCCGGCCAGACTCGCAGCATCTTTGAGAGTGACCTAGAAATGAAGAATTTGAGGATTTACTCCTGCACTGTGCAGCTCTGAGCAGTCTAAAGCTCCTTCTGCTGGGACTCAGCATCACCAGGAGGCAGCAGAATATTTTATAATCACCTTTTATCCAGGGCCTTTTAATCACAGTTAAATTAGCAATCAATTATATACATGATTATTTACATAATTAATCGATTAATTGGATTAAAACAATTCACTTATTCATGTGAAAATAAAAATGCAATAGCAGAAAATTATTTTTTGCATTAGTAATCAGAGCAAATGATGCTTAACAGGAAGTTGTTTTTTTTACAGGATTCAAACCAGGTGAAACTAAAACTATGCTGCTTTTGAAAAACATTTATCTTTTATTATCTTAAATTCAAATTGCCTGTATTTTTGTACAGTATTACTGGTCAGAATATTTCAACAATTGGCCCTTTTTGAGTCTGTGAGCTCCTGTTAACGACTAATCGATCACTAAGTTAGTTGACAATTATTTCAATAATTGATTAATCATGATTAATGCAATTAATCGTCCCAACCCTACTTTTATTCTAATTGCGTCACATTTATCAATTAAGACTTTATCTCAAATTCATTTGTTAGCTTAGCTCTGTTTAGCCTACTTCAGCTTTAGCAGACGTTAGTCTATCTTTTTTAGACATTTTTTATGACATTAAAAGCTGATTTAATCAACTCTTTTAATCCCGTAAGTCCAAATGAATCCCCAGTATTAAAGTCACAGGAAGCAAAACAGAAATGAGAACCGGATCAGGATTTTCTAAGTGGACTGTTTGCACATTTCAGGTTCAGATCTTCAATCCGGCTTTCTTTAAATACATCCATGACCGCTGGACCCGGCATCACGGCCGATACCCTTCCACCGGGATGCTGGTCCTGTTTTTCGCTCTTCACGTCTGTGACGAGGTCAGTTCTTTTCTCCTGGCATCCATCCGGGTGCAACGTTTCCCCATCCTGATCCTGACGTTGCACTTCCAGGTGAACGTGTTTGGCTTCGGCGCCGACAGCCGAGGGAACTGGCACCACTACTGGGAGCAGAACCGGTACTCCGGGGAGTTCAGGAAGACGGGCGTCCACGATGCGGACTTCGAAGCTCAGATCATCCAGCAGCTGGCGAAGGCCGGAAAAATCACAGTGTTCACTGGGAAATGACCGGAAAACGCCAGTTTGGGTGCAAGTGGGAACAAAAGCAAACCGGAAGTGAGGACGATTTCACCGATGGGGTCCGACGAGCGAAACATTTGGGACTCCAATCTTTCAGCTTTACTGAGGAACAGCAGGATCAATTAGAAACCGATTATTAGGGATTATTGAACCCTGACACGACCTGTCTTTCACACCCATTCTGAATCTCTGAGAACGTCGTGTGACTTTGTTTTCCAGCCGCGTGGGATTATTTTGCTGACAAAGAGCTGACCTTCAGAATCAAGATCGTCTTTGATTTGCCTTAAATTCTCTTTGAGGTGAAACATCCGCCACACAGCGGCTCCTGGGTTCACAGAAACACTGGCAGGATTTCAGCTTCTGGAGACTCTGCTGGAAGAACCCGTGTTCTGATCCGGTCCGTCAGGGCTTCATTTGGAAGATCTGTGCTCAAATGTTGCTTACAGACCAGATTATGGCCCTGGAAAACCCCGCCGCCTTCACTGACCCCTCGACCCAGTCCGACTCGACCCAGTCCGGCTCGCCCTGTTGGAGGACGAGCAGCCAACGCCTTAGCCTTCACCTCTCATGTTTGATTTTTCCACTTCTTCCATCGCCATTGTGTGTGTTTTACCCATCATCACGAAGAAAACAACAAAATAAGAAGATTGGTGTTTGAATGTCAGGATCCTGAAAGAGAAATTCCTCCATAAACATCAAGTTTTGTTTTCATTCTTTGGGTTTCAGGTTTTTTTTTTAATCAGACAAGTTTCAATGGATACAACTGAAGTAAATACAAGAAGCAGTTTTGAAATAATGTTTTCAATTATTAATGAAAAGATCTCCAACACCATCTGGTTGTAACCTGAACCCGACTGTTTGTGGCAGCAGTAGTTTGGGCCTCACAGGTTTCTCATGGATGTCATTTTTGCCTGGTTTCTCTTTCACTAGCTGTAATGGGAATTGCATAAATATGTTTGCTTAATGCAGATACGCCAATTTTGATGAAAGGTTTTTCAGTTAGGATTAGATGTTTTGTTTGGCTGCATTGAAATTAGACAAAACCAACTTATTAGTAACTTTTCAGCAAGATATAACAGCTTGTTTTAAGTCAATAATTCCTTAAGAGTAGTGAAGAATTAGTTGTTCCATAGGCAGATTATTTCATGTATGAGATGAAGAAATTCACCTTTAAAAAGTGAAATAATCTGCCAGTTGTACTCGTACATTTTCAACAATACTGAAGAATTACTGACTCAAAACAAGGTCTTGCTGAAACGTTATGAATAAGTTTCGTCTTTTTTCAAGTGTGCTAAAATATTTGCACAAGTGTGCAAATATTATGCAAATATTTTTTGCACAAATATTTGCAAAAAATATTTGTGCAAATATTTTTTTTTTAATTTTGAAAATTCCAAAATTCCAAGTGATTTTGGAATTGCACCAAAATCACTTGGTAGGATTTTGTTTTTGCAGTATACAATGGTTCTGCTTTAATTTGATATCTATCAAAGTTGGGCCTTGATAGATGTTTTTCCTCTTTCATAAATGAAATTATCATTTAGAAAACTGCATTTTGTATTGACTCATATCTTCAGTACAAAAACGTACGGGGGAAAAAGAAGAAATATGTAAAGCTTTAGATAAAGAAAGGAAAAGGAACAGAGTGGCTTTCACTTCCCAAAACATCTGATTTCTGTTTGTGTGAGGGATTAAACTTTGCAAAATGTTTTTGTTTCCTGCATTGTGCAGGTACTTCAAGCTCACACGGACAGATGAAGGCTGTCGCGCAGTTTTGTTGTATTTTACTGTAACTCAACGTCCTGCTGGTGTTTTTTTCAGCACACCAGGTTTTCTTAGAGGCTTCATGTTAACAGCTGAATCTCATCCTATTTTCTGTGTTTCCTGCGTCTTGTCACCTGCTTTCGTGCCTTGTTCGGCCGCCGCCCGCAGCCGCTTCATCAGCGACGCACACCTGCTACCTTTCTGTTGCTGTTAGCCTCGCTCACATACACACACGTCTAGCTGAGAGCTGTGCCTTCTGAGCTCAACGAGTACACGCGAACGCACCACATGACGTCACACTCTGCCTTCTTCTCTCTCGCTGTTGTCGCTAATGGAGACGATGTGAACTCATATCACGGTCCGTTCAAAACTCCTGATTCGGTCTCTGATCGTTCCTTCCCCAGACTTCATTTATTTTTTAAGTATTTATTACAATTTCCAGGATAAAAAAAAGACTTCCAAACTCATTCATATTATGTCGCTCTTATTTTACTTGTTTATAATTAAAAAGATAATTTTTTGTAATTCTGAAATACCCATGACAAAAAAAGCAAAGAAACATTTAATCTTATTATCACTTAATTTTGCTTTATCTTCATTGACTAGCCTGGGTACATCTGGTAAAGCTACCTGTGCCTCTGTTTTCTTAATTTTAGATTAGCTTAGTTTCTGTTTGGGTTAGCTTAGTTTGGCTTAACTTACCACTAGTGAAGTTGTGCTTACATAAACCTAACTCAGCTTAGTTTGGCTTATTTTATATAAGACTGAGTTAGTTTAGCATAAAGTAGCTATGCTTAACTTAGCTCAACACAGGAAGATTGTTTAATCCACCAATGCTAACTTTAGCTGAGGTTAGCCTAGTTTTGCTCAACCCACCTATGCCCCATGTCTAAATAGCGTAGCATTAGATAGCTTGTTTTAGCCCAACTAATATTCACCAATTTAAGTGTTAGCCACTACATTTTTGTTGAATTAGAATAGTGTAGCCTACCTATGCTTTCTTAGCTAGCTTATCTTGTTTTGCCCGACTTTGTTTTATTAGCTAGTTTTCACTTAGCTTAGCATAGCCTACCCTGTGCCAAGCTAAGATTACACTGGCAAAGTGCTTAGCCAAGGTTTTCTAAATTTACTTCAGCTTGACTATAAGCTAAGCTAAGCTAATAGCTTATTAGCTTAGCCTATAACTATACTATAAGCTAAGCACATAGCTTATTAGCTTACCTTATAGTTATTGAATTGTCATGATTAGCTACAATGAAACAGCAAAAAGCAGCAAAACCTGTAAGAAAAACATTGAAAAACCATCAAAAAGTCTGGAAAGTTATTGATCAGAACTTATTCAACAAAGGTTGAATCAGGATTTTTAAAATGGGCTCTACTGGTTTTTTTGGTTTTTTTTTTTTTTTTTTTTTTTGTCGTGATGCAGTATATTAAGGTCTTATTTCCGTGACATTGCAAAAAGACCATTGTAGAAAAAAAAGAGTAAATTTCCAACCATCCAAAATTAAAATTTTCCAAATACATTTCAAATCTTATTGCAAAAAACAATGGAATTCTGAGCTTGAAATGTCAAAAATTAAAATAAAAAAAAATTCTCAAACTTTTGTTTGAAAAGGCAAAAAACTTTGACATTTGGAAATATTCTGACTTTCGATGTTTAAAAATCGTTTTTCCTAATGCATTACTGATTGCAAAATTTTTGTTTTCCCTTACAAATGTTCAACAAATTTTCTTCTAGAAAATTCCTGAAATTAATCTAAAAATTTCTGTTTTGTCTTGAAATTTTTAAATTTTGGAGCTCACATGTTTTCCCTGAAAATTTTAGACTAATGTCAAAATTTGAATTTTTCTATTTTCACCATTTTTTACTTTTGGAGCTCAGAAATGAAGTTTTTTTCTAGCAATTTCCTGAGGTTAATCTGAAAATTTGTGTTTTACTCCTTCTTTCTGTTTGTAACGGCCCCCATAAGTACATGTCTGTCCATCAGTAGGGACTTTAGATTAAAATGGCAACATCTGAACTCAATGTTAGCTCTCAGCCAGCTTCATAATGAGAATGTTAATTATTCATGACCTCCATGCAGACTTTGAACAACAGAACTCGTTTCTCTTGAGCTGCGGCCCAGGATGTGGTGATCAGATGGGGGGAGGAGAGCAGCAGGGTCCCTTCAGTCCAAATCAGGTTCCTCCCTCCCACCGTCAGAACATGACACAGATCTGATTCTTCCACGCAGACGACCCAAAGTAGGTCTTCCCTCCTGCTGTTGGTGTCGACCCACATTTCTCCCTGCAGAAGAGATTCTTCTGGCTGCAAAGAACCACAGCGGTGACTAAAAGCTGTGCCACTTTGTGCAGTTTGGGCAGACTTTATTTAAACTTAAACTGATTTATATTTGAAAATCCTTTGTCCTCGGCGTCAGTGAAACTTGGCACTGCGATCTGTGCGAGGTTATTTATACTCTGCTTCCTCTGGCACATGACGTTCCGAAGGGGGTGTCACGGATCGCCTCAGAGTCTGAAATCTGCATTTTCCTGACCTGAAAAAAATCCCACTGAGGTCATTAATATTCATACTAAGACTGGATAAGCAGAGTGGAGCGTGGAAGAACCTGCTCAGTGAGGGCAAAGATGAGATTTAGAAAAAGATTAAAATAAGAAATTTGCCATAATATCAAACTGACGGTGTATTAGGGCTATTTTAGATTTTAAAAAAAGTGAATTTCTGACAAAACTCAGAAATTTTTAGGACACATTTCCTCGAAAGAATTACATTTTTGAGTTTGAAAAGTAAAAAAAAAAAAACTTGCCATAATATCTGACATTTTGAGATCTTTTTTATTTTTCAGAAAAGAAATGGACATTTTCTTAGTTTCAAAGAAACCGGAAGTTTTCAGGGTTTTTCTGTTTTTAATTTTTGGAGTTCAGAAATAGTTTTTGCAAAAATGCAGCTAATGTTATCTAACATTTCATTAAGTTACAATAAAATGTTAATGTTCATCTTCCTGATTGGATGTCAGTCAAATTTATCTTTGAATTATGAAGATTAATTATAGGAAGGTGTATCAAGGTTACAACAAAAAAAGGGAGTAATTTTCCACCAAAAACTTACATTTTGAGATGAATCAGAAATGTTCTTGATTTTTCTCAGAATTTTCTCTTAACCTCAAAATATGTTTTTTTTTGGCCTTAATTTACTTCCTTCTCTTTCCCCCTTGTAAAAGGCTCTGATATGTCATCATAGATGAAACATTTGATGTGTGGTAAACAAAAAGTATTGGCCATTTTCTTATCAAGAGGGGAAATTTTCACTATTAGGTAAAATATGACAAACATATTTTATTTGTGTAAAATTATATTACTTGGTGATAAAAACTTCCACCACAGAATTCCTGGCCAACTAAAATCAGAAGAAATGCAGCATTTCTGCTAAACAGACGTAATAATTAATGAAAAGTGAATAAAAAGTTAGACTTTTCTTTACATTTCTTGCAGCATCGTCAGGAGACAGAAGCAAACGTTTGGGAATCTTTGGTAAAAACATCTGGAAATGTTTCATTTGCTGCAGTAAAAGTCAGTTTTTATTGTTGAAAGATAAATCTGTAGTGGTTATGTTTACTGGTCCAATCCTTTAACATGTTGGAAACATCAGCACTCATGTATTAACCACTGGAACATCTGTAACGTGACTCCATTTTGTTTTTTCTGCTGTGTGCAAATAAAAGCTTCATGAAACTCAAATGAGGCGTCTGGGAATTTCATCCTGCAAAACCAGAGACGCGTTTTTACTCTGTCCTTCACAGCCATTTCAAATGATAAAATATTAAAAACAAATGTATGGATGATACGTAAATAATGAGCAGGTTTTAAGTTTAAGATGAAGAAAAACAAAGAATGAAGGACAAAGGAAGGAAGGACACAAGAACAGAAAGGAAGGACAAAAAAAACAATGGAACAGCACAACAAAGGAAAGAATGAAATGAAGGAAGGAAGGACACAAGGAGAAAGAGAAGACAAAGATAAGAAAGGTACAAGGAAGAAAGGAAGGACACAAAAGGCAGAGCGAAGGTATAAGGAAGGAATTCAAATGTTAAAATATAAAAAAAGAAAAAATGAAGGAAGGGAAGTAGAAAAAAGAGCAATAGTATAAAGACAAGGACACAGGGAAGGAAAGAAAGTAATTAAAACAAGAATTAAATAAATGAGTGGAGAAAAAAAGAGAGGAAGGATACAATGAATGAAACAAGAAAGGAAGGACACAAGGAGGGACGTAGACAAAAAAGGACACAAACCTTTACAGAATGAGGAAGGGCATATGCAAGGAAAGAAAATAGGACACAAGGAAGCACACAAGGGAAGAAAAAGATCAACAAAGAAAGGACAAAGGAAATAGGAGACAAGGAAGAAATTAAAAGAATTGAAGAAATCAAGGGAGAACAGAAGGAAATAAGGACCTAATCAAGTGATTTAGGAAGCGAGTTTATGAGCAGGAAATGAGTCGCCATCCTGAGATCATGATGTTGGTTTAATAACGTCGATCTGCATCAGGAGAAGCTGGCGGCTCATTAACTGCTGTCCGTCTCATTAAAGTTCAAACGGTTTTGGCTCGGCGATCCGCAGCGAGCGATCCGAGGCCGACCTTCACATCGACGGGTCTGAAATGAATCGCACAGGAAGCGGACGCTTTCGCCAGGCAGATTTATTCCATCATTATCGACACGAAGCAGCAACGTCGATTAGAAACTCTAAATGTCAGAGGAGCGTTTACACAAACATCAATTTACAGACATCAATAATCATTTTACAGCAAAATCATTAAAAAAAATTATGTTTTTTAATGTTAAATCAGTTTCTACCTGGTTTGGATCATATTAAGCTTCAGATGAAACACAGAATAAACCCAAAACGTATCGATGGTGTAAAGACTCAAAAGTATTAGAACGGGCGGATTATCAGGAGCTGAAGTCATTCTAGTTATTTTCCCTCAGCTTCATGGAGCTAGCAAGATGCTAACGCTAGCATTTCTTTTCCCTTCTCACTAAAACATGCAATTAAGTAGCAAACGAATCCCCTTCCAGGTAAAAGTGCATTGGAAGATGCTTCATATTCAAGCTACGTCCAGACTCAATAAATACGAGTGGCTCATTTTCTTCTGGTGGTTTAGTTTTCTGTCTGACCTACAGGGGGAAGAAATAACGAGAGGAAAACAAAGATGGAGTATTTCCCTTCAGTTTTCTCCCAGTTTGAGTCGAGCGAACTCGTTCGCCATCTGCAGCGCCTCCTGCAGGCACTGCGTGTTTTTGCCCGTCGCCTGTGCCGACATGTCTTTGCCGCCGCCTTTTCCGTCCAGCAGGGGGCACAATTCCTGAACCCACTCGCTAGCCTTCAGGCCGCGGTTTGCCACGTCCTGCAGAAGAAGAGGGAAGGCATTCAGTGGGAGACTGTTCAAAACAAAACACTCCTGAAATGTTTCAAAGTATCTGCGACCAACATTTCTAAAGCAGCTGTCCTGTTTCCATGGTTTTTTTATCAACCTTTTAGCACAGGGACATGAACGTGCTAAGCTAACATTAGCAAAACAAACATAGCTAGGCTAAACCAAGCTAAAAGCTAATGTAAGATCATGATACATTAGCTTAATTTGGGCTGAACTGATCTAAACAGATACAAACAACCAAGCTAAAATTAGATTAAGGTTAAGATAGCAAGCTAGGCTAGGCTAAATGAAGCCTAGGTGGGAAAAATAAAACAAAAAATTTAATTAAGACCGACAAAGCTAACACTGATTAACCCGAGACAAGACATAGAAAACTAAGATAGGTCAAGCAAAACCTTTTAACCGAAGGTGGATTTTGCAAGGCTAGGCTACACTACATTTAGCTACATTAGATTAAGCTAGAACTTCGCTAGAATAAAAGACAAAAAAATCAAATTAAGCAGTTTGAGTAAGGCTACAATAAGCTAAACTATAAGTTAAAGACGCTAAAGTCTAAGATAATTTTAGCAAAGCTAAATGATAAATAAAAACTGAAGTAAATTAAGGCAAGCTAAAAAAGTAAATATAACATAATGCAGCTTCACCTGTGCTAAAGTGAATTAGCATGAATCAACATTAACTAAGAAACAATAAAAGCTAAATTAATAGAAACTAAATTTAGATTTGGTAAGAAAATAGATAAAGGCAATTTGTTAGTTACTACTTTTTGTAAAACTAAAAACTGTTGCTCTATAGTCAAACTTTTCTCTTTGGCATCATATAATCCTATTTATCTAATGCCAAATAACCTAAAAGTCCAGTTTTAAGTAAGTAAGTTATTTCTTTATCAGATTTGTGGAAAATGCACAGATATAAAGAATGACTTGTGTGAATGAGTGTCATACCTGAGGAACCTGACACAGACAGGTGATTTTACCAGCATCAGGGTCAACAGTGAACAACATGGCTGCCGTCTGCGGCGACTGGCTCTTCAGCAGCTTCAGCGACTCATTCAGAGCCTGAAGAAGAAAAAAAAAAAACGTTGGATGTTATTCTTTACATCTGGATAAAAGGCAACAAGGTAATTCTTTTACACAGCACAGCTACATGCTACGTTTGTCATAGTCAAGCTAGCATAACTGAGCTACTTTCCTGTCCTTTGTTATATATATTTTTTTATTAAAACTTATTTGTTTTCTAGTTGAGTTAGTAGTAAAGCATTGCGTCTGTTTTTCTTTTATACGTTTAAGATTTATGTTGTGAACTTAACAGCTAAAACCAATGCTAACCAGCTAAAACCTGGTTAGCGAGCAGCTTCTTGCCCTCCTGCAGGGAGACGCTGCAACGCGTCTATACAGCGATCAGGCAGTTCTCAAACCTCAAAAACACCAAACTGAACTTCATGTAATTCTAAGTATTTCATGGACCCTGTAGGATACAATCCAGCCGTTTACCTTCGCTGAGGCTCCGGTTTCCATCTCCATGATGAGGAGCGGCTGGTTGGGCTTGTTCTCGATCTCCTCCTTCGTCTTCTCCAGGACTCTCTTCTGGATGTCGGCCTTGTAGCTGCGGTCCAGGTCGTCCATGGTCTTCTTCAGAGCCTTCAGCGTCTCCCTCATCTCGTCCTTCTGCCACTGAGAGATCAGGGCCGTGCCTATGGACTGCAGGCGACACCGAAACGTTAAAACGGAAACGCAAAGAGAGGCGCTGAAGCGCCGAGGCTCCGCCCACCTCGGTCATGTCGGCGATTTCTTTCTGCACGTCTTTGTTCGGCGATGTCTGCTGCTTCACTTTGTCTCCCAGAGCGGACAGGGACAGACGCAGGGCGTCGGCTTTCCGATGGGCCTGCAGGAAAACAAGGAAGGAAACAGTCAAAGAAAAAACAAGAAAAAAATCCACTGAGGAAGATTAAAGACAATAAAAATAAAATGTCTTCAGGGTCAGTGGAGACTTGGAAAAACTTTTTCTTTCAACTCCAATTTTTATCTCATTAAAAATTACTTACTTTTGTGTTCAATTCTTTTGTTGTTAAGTTCAGAAAGAAATTGCCAATCAACAACCGAAATAAGAATAGAATTATATATTAGTTGGACTCAAGCACAAATTTTAAATTGACTTCTTTGCAGGATCTGTAATTAGTTAATCAACCTTGTGACTGAAAACTAAATAAAAACAGATAAATAAGCAACATTTTCAATTCAAAAACACTTTTTGCTGGTAAATTATTGACAAAAATCAATAATGATTTAGATAAAAAAAAATAAAATAAATAAAATCAACTCTTTTTTCCTAAAAGGTTAATCAAGTTAAATAAATACATTTTTTGTACTAAACAATATTTTGGCAGAAAACAAAACAAAACAACAACAAAAAAACTATTTTTACCTAAAAGAAAATTTAGGCAAAGAGAAAAAAAAGGAAGGTGACGACATAATAAGTGCATTATTTTTATATTTCTACTTTGCTTTGTGCGAGTCTCCGACCTTCTGGGCTTCAGTTCCAGTCACGGCGACGATGCGGCGGATGCCCTTAGCGATGGCCTCCTCTGAAACGATGACGAACGGCGCAGCGTGACCCGAGTTCTGCAGATGGCTGCGGATAACGGAGACAGCGGCGCATTACTGACCGCGCTGCAGACGAGGGAGCAGGAAGCAGGAAGACGCAGGAGAAGAGGCGGCAGATTCAGAGCGACAGCAGGAGGCGCAGCAGGAATTTAATACTTTAGTAACAGAAATAATGCAGCAATCATGAAAGAAACTAACTGTACAGGCCACCAGGGGGCGCTGTGAGGCCTCAGCCAGAAATAAACAACTAAAATATAAGTTATTATTTCTGATGCTCATTTTGAGTATTTATAAACAATGCTCTTTTCTCATCTTAAATACAAAATGTTTATTTATTTTTTTTAGTTGTGGCTTTCTTATTTCTCTTTTTGCTTTTTCAGCTTCTGGTTTTGAGTCTCTAAACTCCAGTTAACGAATAAATTAGTTGACAAAAATCCGGTAATCAGGTTATTGAATATTTATTTCCATTTTTATTTATGAATTTTGACATGCATTTTAACACAGGAACAAGTTATTTACCAAGAACACAAAACAGCCAAACCACAGACAGAAATAAGATAAAAACAAAACAGAAATAAAAATAGAAAAAACAAACATGGTGCTTATATTGGTGTAGATTATTGATTATTTTTAAAAGGTTGTTTTTGTTTTGTACTAATGTAATTATAGTAGAAGCCTCTGCCATATTTCTCTGT